TGGCTGAATGCTTGTAAAGAAAAGCGTAAATACAGAATGTATTTAATGAAAAGCCTTTACTTTAGTGATAAACATACATGCGAAAGTGATAAGCTTCGGGATCGGACCAACCCATATATGATTATGAATAATTATTTGATTTTCCACCAATGAGCTGTAGTACTAAGTGATGAACGAGTATCATTCCACATAATTTTGAAGGAATAAAAATGTAATAGACACATTCAAAAGGCAAGTTGATCCATTTGTAATCTAACTTTCCTTAATCTTATCTTACGTTCATACAATAATTTATTCTGAAATTTTGAATGTAGTTACGCTTGCATTACAGCCAGCGTAGTCGAGCACTGCGCTGCAACGAATATTGCACACGGGAAGCAATACCAAATAAGGGAACGCGATGGCTCTTTCGTGAAAAAAACGCAACATCATTCAAATTATCATAGTGTTGTAAATTTCCTAGCACTTAGTCTTAATATTAGCGTATACATTTTCTTCGTACCAATCGATTGGTAAGGGTCTGCAAGAAAGTTGTTTGGCAATGGACAGTAAAACTTGGCAGTAGAAACATCCATTTAAATTTGCTCCGGCAGCAGTGCATATAGAATAGAATGGCCATTCCTCCGTAATATCGATTCAAAAGTTTAAGTCATCACTCTTTTGTTTTACATTTTATTTATTTTAGCTTTTAGTGCATGTTCGCTCTTTCTTTAATAAAAATAGGGCCGTCTCCAGAGAGTCTTTTCTTGTGACACGGCCACCTTAGCTTTCGAACTTCGGCTTATTACTTGAATTACAGTTTGTTCTGGAACTTAAATCCGTAATTTGCTAGGCATTTTAAGACTGAACATATGCTCCTGCATAGCTTCGTCTAGTCTGTTCTTGAAGGCGTTCATACTCGGAGCGTCAACGATACTATCAGGGAGGCTGTTCCACATGTCGGAGACTCGAAGCGAGAAGAAATTTTGTCGCGTGGAGAAGTTGCAGCGCAATTTTTTTAGTTTATAGCCGTGGCCCCTGGTGTTGGTTCTTGTTTCAAATTCTAGCAATCCTTCTGGAACCTTGTATAAGCCATGAGTATACTTGTATGCTTCAATGGGTTCCCCACGCAGACGTCGATAACTGAGGCTTTGAATCTTCATAATCATTAATCTTTCCTCATAGGACTTGCCTTTCAAGCCCGGAATTATCCTTGTTGCACGTCTTTGAACACTCTCTATTAAATTTCTGTCCTTTTCAAGTTACGGTGACCACACGACGTTTCCAAACTCTAGATTCGGGCGCACGACAGCAACAAACAACTACTTCATCGCTTCTGCATCTAGGAACTCGAAAGAGCGTCTGATCAGTCCAAGTCATTTATTGGCTTTATTAACTTGACCTTCAATATGTTTAGAAAATTTCAACTCATTGTCGATATTAACTCCTAAATCTTTTTCCATTGTCGACTTCGACAGAATCAGGCGGAAAGGCAAGGAAAATCAGGTCAATCACTTCCAAGCTGCCAAGACAGCACCGGCTGCTCAAGGACAGTCAGAGGAGATGGAGGACAAGTAATTAGTAGGAATGATGTCCGTAGATTAAGGCCTGTAAATAATGTAGGGAGTAACCGCATACATCAAAGTGAAAGTGCACAAAAAGTTTTAAAATGTTTTTACACGAACTCGGATTGCGTTTTGAACAAAAAAAAAGTGAATTGTTAACTGTGATCGCAAACGAGAGTATAGACATTATTTGTATTACAGAAACACTTCCTAAAAATCACGGGGGGAAAATTGTACCTGTTGAATTTCAGCTGCCAGTTTTTGATTGTTTTCATAACTTAAATGAAGAGCAGTGCAGTAGAGGTGTAGCTCTGTGGGTTAGAACCTCGTATGGGGCCCAGCAAGTTAAGTTATCTGCAGAGCATCAATCAGCTTGAGAATCAGTGTGGTGCGAACTTACTCTAAAATGTAAAGATAGCCTTCTCATGGGGGTCATTTATAGATCACCTAACAGCTCCTCTGATAACAATAAAGTACTAAACAGCCTTTTACCGAGCATGTCATTCAGCAGGTCGCATACGTTGATCGTTGGTGACTTTAACCATCCAGAAATAGATTGGGCAGATGAATCTTCTCCAAGAGATGAGCATCACCCAGCATCCCTGTTCTTGGAGTCTGTACGAGACTCATTTTTAATCCAGAACATCACCAAGCCAACCCATTTTAGGGGTAAACAGACCCCAAATATTCTAGATCTTGTGTTTGCTAGTGAAGAACCAATGATAGATGAGCTTCGCCACGAGGCTCCGTTGGGCAAAAGCCACCACCAATCATTGTTTTTCAATATTAAGTGTTTGTCGTACGCCCGAGTCTAGAGTTTGGAAACGTTGTGTGGTCACCGAGATTTGAAAAGGACAGAAATTTAATAGAGAATGTTCAAAGACGTGCAACAAGGATAATTCCAGGCTTGAAGGGCAAGTCCTATGAAGAAAGATTGAAGATTATGAAGCTTCCAAGCCTCAGTTATCGACGTCTGCGTGTGGACCTCATTGAAGTATACTCATGGTCTATACAAGGTCCCTGAAGGGTTACTAGAATTTGAAACAAGAACCAACACCAGGGGCCACGGCTATAAGCTAAAAAAATTGCGCTGCAACTTCTCCACGCGACAAAATTTCTTCTCGCTGCGAATCACCGACATGTGGAACAGCCTGGGGATGACATCGTTGGCGCTCCAAGTATGAACGCGTTCAAGAACAGACTAGATAAAGGCTATGGAAAAATATATGTTCAGATTTGAAATGCCTAGCTCCATATCGAACCCGGTGGAAGTCTAGTAGCTACTTCAAACTATCGCCAGTCATAAAAGATCCGGTCAAATGACACGAGTTTAGATCTATGAACAAGGCACGAAAAGGAAAAGAATCGGCGACAGGCCACATCAGGCCTACACTTCAGCGCCGACATCACTTATTATGTTATCATCATTCTGTCGTTGCAACCGTGTCTTCTCATACTGTAATCTTGCTGTTCATAATTCTTGCCAAGGTGGATTACTTTACATTTGTCAGCGTTAAAACGCAGCTGCCACTTATCAGCCAAGTCAACCAGCCTGTCAAGATCACCTTGTAACTGTACTTTTTGCGACGTATTCTTCACTGTATTATAAATTTTTGTGTCGTCAGCATACATCGAGCAAACGCTAGACACAGCTTCTGGCAGATCGTTTACAAACGCAACGAATAAAACAGGCCCGAGAACGCTTCCTTGTGGCACGCCGCTGCGCACTGGAGCCCAGTCTGATAAGGACCCATTAATACCGACACGTTGTCGTCTTCCTACTAGAAAATCTCTGATCCATTTGAGTACATTGCTGTCAATTCCCAAAGACTGCAATTTCCGCAACAGCTGCTCATGTGGGACACTGTCAAATGCCTTGGCAAAATTGAGTTATACTGCATACACGTGTACTGATGGTCCATTACATCCGAGGCAGTGATTGTCTTCGGCAGGCAACCCCGAGGTTGTACGTATAATGAAATAGTAAGACATACCTTATGCTCGTCCAGCTTCTAATTTGATTATTATTCATTTTGCAGCTATTTATATCCATGATATCGATGGAACTACGACGAACCTTTTAAGACAGATCGGTCAAATTTTTTTATGGACTATAAGCGGGCCTGCGAGCCGCCGTGCTCTTGCTGTCGAGTTACCGTTTGACTGTAAACCTGATAATTATGAACATTTCTCTTCTAACTCAGCAGCTCAAACAATACTCTAAATGAGAGCAAAAATAAATGATCTTTGTCCAAGTGAAAAGCATTCTACTTAGTTACGATTAGTTATTTTATAAGAAAATTAAACGATAAGCTATGCCTTCGTTAGCACTCGTCAGCCATGGGTCAACTACAACAGGGTGGCCCAGTGGTTAAAGTTCAGAGTACCAAGATTGGAGCCGAGAGGCGCGGGTACGATCCCAGCTCTGTGCGCCAATTTCTGGTCAGAATCGGCAAGGAGGCCGGGCGGTTAAGCACAGCAGAATTGTAGCAGTGCGTTGAGAGTTCGAGACCGCAGCGAGCTGTGAATGTTCTGCGAAGTTGAGAATCGGCGACAGGCCTACGGCCTAATAAACGCTGAAACCGCTATTATATGATATATATAACTTTCCCCGCAGCTCTGATGCGCGTTTTAGCCGAGCCAAACTTAGACAGGATGACGCAAATAAGAGCATCGCTATGAGAACCAAGTCTCACACATGCTAAGCTGATAATAACTTTTTAATGAGCTCATACCGAAATTTGTAACTGTTGAAATATCACTCATGAGTTTTGAAGCCTTTAGAAGAATCTCCATGCAGATCTCCATTCGTCAACTTCAATATTATAGGAAAAATAAAACGCACCGACACAAAAAATGAAAATGTTTCCGTTGCAAGAACTAAGTAGTTTGAATTTCTGAATTTCCGGACGAACGCCTGGAGAGTGGCTTAGATGATGCAGGATTTAAATAAAGGAGATCATGATAGTCCATTCGAAGCACGGCAGTGGTGGTCTCCGACAGGCGTCCCATAAAATCTAGACTCCCTTATGAACGTTGTTTACAATTTCTAGTTTCAGGTGGCTGAGCCTCCTCTTTGTTAATAGAACAAAAAATTTAGTCTTTTTAAAAACACAATTCATTTCTTACATTAAGAAAATAATTGGTTGATGTCGAACATTCCACGGGACTAATTATTTTCTGATTCCTCGACGTAGTAGCTTTTAATATACCACAAGAACTTGATATACCATTATTTCGAATTGCAGAGGAAAAATCTACAGTTAGTCAGCTTAGTGGCCACATTTACTAGCGCTTCAGCTATTTAGCTATCTCGCACCGAAAGTCAACATGAACATCACCAAAGGGGTGGAAGGTCTCAGTTATCAAAAGATTCTCAAATCAATAATTGTTCATCACCCACAAGGGGCGGAAGGTCTCAATTGAACAGCCCGCTGAAGCTGGCTCGAAGGAAGCAGCGTTAGAATCTCAAAGAGACGAAGTGACAAGGAGGGACAGGTGACAAGCAACAAAAACTAAGACACTCTAACATGAGGTCGCTTACACGGGACGTCGGCCGCCCGCACGAGAGACAGAGAGGAAAAATAACATCACGCATGAATCGGCGAAGATATCAGACCCAATACTTCAACTATTCACCTGCAAAAAGGCACTGTTTCTAAGTTCAAGTTTGATTTTCAACATCCTGGTATTCTGATTACCAATTAGCAGCAATTTTCATTAAGAAAATAAATCCGAAGAGAAGCGTTTCAGTGCAGTTCCTGTTCACCGTTTGTGCCACACTAAACAACAAAAATTATGAAATCATCAAACAAATAATTATTAAAAGCCTCGGCACCTCCAATCTAGCTGTGGACTCGCTAACCTCAATTTTAGAGGTTTACAATTGTTCTATCATTGCTTGGACTCAAATTCTACAATGACAACAAAGCCGTCAATAGACATCACTCAACAGCACGACGAACGCAAGTTATATATTGGTTCCAGAAAAATAAGGGATTAGAACCAGAAGCTTCAATCTCATGATCTCTGTAAGGTCGACAGCTGCTGAAAGGATTACGCTGCGTGGGCATAACAACCTTGACTGGAACAGCAGCTTGTAGCGCACTTAGATCCTTACACGCTTCTTGTAACGTGTAAGAGGTGAACACCAACGGGACGGCAGGATCTGCTACGAGCAGAGGCAATGAAGACTTCCACGTATCTTTGGATTTATTGTCGACCTGTTCATGGAAACCACAGTTGTAGGCTATAACGACATCAGGTTTTGAATAATACGAGGTTTCAATGAAATCGTGGTAGCACATATTAGCCATTTCATAGACAATCATGCGTGGCTTTGCTTTGCAGTCGTCGCACATGGTTAGCCCGCTGTCATCCAGAATGTGGTCATCAGGAAGAGCGTCCTCTTCTGAATGTCCATCAAGAAATAGTTCAGGTCCAATGAATACCACATGGAGGAATTGAAGAGCAGGCAGACGATGCACCATGTATTCCCATCTGATGATCCCAAGAAGTTCTGTGTATGACTTGGCTCCGACCACATGGACGTTCAGTTTTGTCACATCATGCAAGGCTGTGTTATCTGACCCCAAACCTACGTTTTGCAAGGCATATTGCAGAGATAACGGATAGCTGAGCCTTTCAGTTATCATCAAAACAAATTTCATATCAAGAGATTCCAAAGGCTCACGCTCCAGTTCTGGTTTCACCAAAGTCATGAGTCTATCGGGCAAGTTCTTGTAAACAGTGTCAATGTTGACAGGAAAAGGGACATCTTGAATACCCTTCTCAGCTTCAATTTTATCACATTGGAACATTAAAAGGAACTGTAGACAGTGGGTCTTGTGTTGTGGGAGGCCCAGATCTCGGTGCTCGGAAGAACAATAGAAAACAGAGTGGCACATGGGGCAGTCAGCAAGTTGATCTTGTTCAGAACTTAGACAGATGCTGCAAACTCGAGGAAACATGAAGATTTCATGTTCATAAGGCTGCAGTTTGCGCTTTAAGTTCGCCATTGCTGCCAAGTACATCACGCTCCTATAGCGTAACCAGCTTCCGCCATGGGCTACCTGCTCTTTAGCATGACCAAACACGTTCTTGCCGCCCTTAACTTTGTTGACACGGCACAAGTCCCTGCCAGAGAACATCATTATTTATTAAGAAAAAAATCAAACACTGTTAAACTGAAGATGCCAACAATTTAATGTAATAAAATGAGGTATAAAAATAAAGTGAGGTATAAAAATAAAGCAAGGAATAAATCCTTTAACTTGAATACAAATTCATAGATAGCTACCTGAAATTAGCCACATATTGAATCATCAGATATTTTGAATATAAAAAATCCCGTCAAAACTGATTTATAATATGTTATGAACAAATTTTATTCATTTCCACCCTGTGGACTTGATACTCTAAGAAGAACTGACTTGTGATGACGCCAGTCAGTCTTCTGGCATCGTCTGGAGCAGTAGACGACAAGCTGACATTGAGAGCAGCGCATCAGAGGCGGCTGTAGAGGCTCTTGCACAGGATCTGGAGGAGTTCTGTAATAGCTTACAATTAGTTCCCAATAATACCATTAATCAGGGTGACAGAACACGTGATTCTGTAACATATTTATAAAGGAGGCTCAAATTGGTCAATGTCTGAATTCGTGGCATAGTTCAGGAAGATTGTCATTGATTTACCAGCTTGCACTAGTCACAAATCATTTTTTATTTGCATAGGTAACATATAAATGGAATTAATTAAATGCCTATTTATTTTGAGGAACTTGTATACGTAATTTATAAAAAACAATACAAAACAAGAAATTCTTTAGGTATCTAGGCCTTCATAAATCTTAAAGACCTGCTCATAGCCAGTTATCCCATATTATATGTTTTATGTACAGATAATACATAGGTATTTATGGCATGGAGATGAGTAGTAATACATCTGTACCTGAGGCATGTGTGACAGACACCAGGATGGTAGTGTCTTACTACAGGCAAGCCTGCGTTGTGGACACGAGACTCGTTGCTCATGAGACGGTACTCAAGTTCATGAGGTGCACCACTAGCTACAAGATGGTGACTACCCATTGTAAATTTTCTACTGAATTTATTAATATTAAAAATTAGGACAAAATTCTAGTATCTAAAAAATTTAATGAAAATTAAGAAAATATACAACTATCTATAAAATTTAATGAAATCAAAATGAAGAACTGCTGTCAATTGCTACCACAGAACTTCTGTCACTGGTCTTCCAAGAGAAATGTTCAATTTTGTTAATAAAACTGAGCCAAAACCACAAGTGGAAGAAATTATAAAAGACAAACTAGTATTCCTGTTTTCAACTCTGCAACTTGCTGTGAAAAAATTCAAATTAATTTTGCAGGATGTGTGAAATTATAATTGAATGATAATCAAATTATGCTTGTTATTACAGTGAAGAAATTGCATAAAGATCAAAGCATCAAATCAAAATTGTTATCAGAATTGTGTCAGCTAAATGTCAAAATGTGTAAAGCAGACAAATAACTACCTTACCAGGAGGGCCATGCATGCTTGAGAAACACACGTGATGTGAACAAGTTAAATAGAGCAACTTTTAAAAACAACCAATTGCAATTAGAGTTGCAAAAAAATAGGGATATCTCTTCCCATTAGTGAGCTGCTGAACTAGTATGTGCAAGATTGGCTGGAGGAAAAATCATTGTGTGAAACATGAAAAATAATTATGATCACAACTCTGTGAGAGGGCATGGGCTATGTTTGAAGAAGTGCACCACAAATGCAGTTAGCAAGAAAACACATGACGTCTGACACTCAAGTTATTATCCATTGGTTTTATTAACAATTAGATAAATTTTTCAGACAATGACACTAATTGAATATACATGAAGCATTTAGCAGTGCTCTACAATGAACCAAAGCCAACCCAATATTACTATGCTTAACAAACTTTTCTCGTGACAAAAACTCCAATGTGACTGATTTTACAGTTGACTTCCTGCAACACAAAACAGTAACAAGTGGTTGTTTAATCAAATAATGTGTTTCTAGATGGATAATATTGAATATCAGATTTGTACTTTTATTAAAAACCTTGTAACATAAGAATTACCAGTTGGTCCTTTCTTACCCCAGCCTGGTCCCATCTTACCCCAATGGGGTAAGATGGGACCAGCTCACTTTTTTTAATCTGTACAGAAAACTATGTTAGATGCAAAATATCTGAGTTGTAGCACATTTGCCAGCACATTTACCTGATGAATATTATATGCATTACTATTGATTTTGCTGATGCACAATGATCACCACAGACCTAGGTACTTGCATTACAATCAATATGGCCAATGGCCTGATGCACCATGATTGGCACAGACATACTTGTATTACAATTGCTATGTGTAACAGATACAAGCAATCAAAACAAGCAGAAGATGCATGCAGATGACTGCATGGCAGGCAATGACCGCTGAATGTTGTTGGCTTTGCAGCAACACATCCTGAATAATGCTGATGACTTCTTAAGCTCAAGAACCATATCTTGCCTAAAGTTTTGCAAAAATCTGCACCCTGGACAACAAGCAATACAAGCTTGACAACTCTTAGCATTAACATTGAGGCCTCAAAGTTAGATACAAATTTCAGAGTGCAAAGTCCATTTTTTCAAAAAGCTATGAGGGAAAAACTGAAGAATTTTTTAGAGGCTTGCACTATATCACAATATTTTTTTATCTGCATTTCCAAGTAATGTTACTATTGCTGGATGCCATATGAATACAATACTTTTATGGTAAATTTGTACATTTATGAAATTCATCTCTGATATTGTAATTTTAAAATTTGGCGTTTCATATAATCTTATTAAAATTATCATATAATATTCAAACGCATCTTCTCATGACATGAGCTTAACTCAGCTGAGAAATATAAAGCAGCTGCTTGCACATCCACATTATACAAACCCTAAGAAGTAAGAAAATTACAATCCATAAGTGCTCTCACAGAATTCCATAGTTACACTTTTAGTTCAGCCAGGCTGTAAAGCATGGCACAACATAGGTCATAGATTCTGTCTTTTTAACCATAAGAACCCAAGGCAAACCTATATAGATGATGGATGACAATATTCATCAGTAACCAGAAGGCTAGGATGACAAAATTTATGGTGAGTGAATGGCAATTGCCAGCAGGAACTAGTTAATAAATAACAAGGAAACATAACAGTTGAAGAGTCAGCTATGGAAAACATGTCTTGTGTCATGACCCAGTAAAATTTCAACTCTTCTAGTGTGTCATATGCCTAATGTGACTAAAACACCTCTCCCCAAAGGTTTAAGAATATTAAGCAAGCTACATTTAATAGCAACATGAACTAGAAATAAATGAAGTTTAATATCTTTCACCAGTTATCATCAAGCACACCATGTTTGTTGTTCAAATGTCACATGCAGTGAAGCTAAAAAGCAGATCCAGACCCTCAAACCTCTATACAATTCATCCAAGGAAGTTTCAATAAGCCTCCAAGAGTAATGAGTAATATCAATAATATGACAATGCATCAACAATTGATGTGCAAACACTATGCCTGACTATTTACATCTGAAAGCTATCATTAGCTATGTGCATAACATGGTCTGATTGATGTATTCATGATACCCTTGCACAATATCAGTCTACATATACAAATACCTGTTTACAAATTCAAAAGTAAAAAAACTTGAGTGAAAGAAAAAATGTGAGTCAAATAAAAAATACCCATTCAAATAACAAAATAAGTCAAAGAATAGAAGTGAATCCCAGAAGAAAGTGAGAAACAGAATGAAAGTGAGTTGAAGAGTGAAAGTGAGGCAAGGTGCAAAAATGTGTCAAATGACATAAGTGAATCAATGAACAGAAGTTAGTCAAATAACAGAAGTGAGTCATATAACAGAAGTGAGTCATATAACAGAAGTGAGTCAAATAACAGAAGTGAGTCATATAACATAAGCAAGTCATATAACAAGTCAAAGTACAAAAATGAGTTGATACACAAAATTGAGTCAGAGGACAAAAGTGAGTCAAAGGATGTACCTAGGTAAGTAAATTAAAAAACAAAAGTGAATCAGAGCTTAAGTGAGTCATAGATTGAAAGCAAGTCAATAAACAAAACTGAGTCAAAGAACAAAACTGAGTCAGTGAACAAAACTGAGTCAAAGAACAAAATTGAGTCATAGAACAAAACTGAGTCAAAGTACAAAACTGAGTCAAAGAACAAAACTGAGTCAAAGAACAAAACAGAGTCAAAGAACAAAACTGAGTCAAAGAACAAAGCTGAGTCAAAGAACAAAACTGAGTCAGTGAACAAAACTGAGTCAAAGAACAAAATTGAGTCATAGAACAAAACTGAGTCACAGAACAAAACTAAGTAAAAGTATGAAACTGAGTCAAAGTACAAAACCGAGTCAAAGAACAAAACCAAGTCAAAGAACAAAACCAAGTCAAAGAACAAAACTGAGTCAAGGAACAAAAGAGTCAAAGAAACAAAACTGAGTCAAAGAACATAACTGAGTGAAAGAACAAAACTGAGTCAAATAACATAACTGAGTCAAAGAACAAAACTGAGTCAATAAACCAAATTGAGTCAAAGAACAAAACTAAGTCAAAGAACAAAACTGAGTCAATGTACAAAGCTGAGTCAAAACAAAACTGAGTCAAAGAACAAAACTGAGTTGTAATGAAGTGTTGCTGCAAATTTCTCACTACTGTCTGTCAGACTACGAAGTTTAAGTAGGACCGACTCTGATGTCGGTGTTAAGTTCAGTATAGCCGTCAGATACTATGCCGATCCCGACTTGCGTCCTGGTTCCTCTCTTATAGGATTTTGACTCAGACGCCAGGGTGAGTTGTGTGCTATAGTGGTGAAATCTAGCTTGAAATACTTGATGGAATATAGTGATTTTTATGTATTTATGACTTGTCATGCGTAGATATTTACTTTCTGTTTTCTGTTGTAGGATCGTGCGTTTTCTCAGATCTCAATGCTCCAGCTCTCTCCTTGCATTTTGCTCTCATCGCACTTTAGCTTCCTCCGCATTTAATTTGTTAGCGTTAAATTCAGATGCCGCACCTGTTTGATTTGTTTAATTTCGATTTGCCGTTTATCTTTAATAAATAAATTTAAGAAAGTCTGTTTGAGTAACTGTCCGCTCAGTCCAAGCTCTTGCTGATAAAACCAATAGGGAAGTTGAATTTAATTTCCGGTCATTGGTGGACGTGACAATTAGACCATCCGAACTTTGAGGTGACGCGATCAATTAGCTATTATCCAAGATTAGTTCGTCACATGAGTCAATGAACAAAACTGAGTCAAGTCAAAGAACAAAACTGAGTCAAAGAACAAAACTGAGTCAATGAACAAAACTGAGTCAATGAACAAAACTGAGTCAAAGGACAAAACTGAGTCAAAAAACATACCTGAGTCAAAAAACAAAACTTAGTCAAAGAACAAAACTGAGTCAAAGAAATAACTGAGTCAAAAAATGAAACTGAGTCTGTTAGGGGCTGCATTTAGGCAAATGAATGATTTATTAATTGTTTTCAATTAATCATTTTTTTTTGTCCCCAGTGCCTTAATACTAAACAAGTGACAGCTAATTAAATTAAATTTGTGCATGTGAATGTGAAAAGTGTTTTAGAGAGTCAGTTTTCTATTGTCATGCATAACTTGCACTCATACTGTGATACTGACCTGCTACTCACCCATGCTGACTGACCTGCTGTAAATGAACATGCTTTCTGTCCCTGACTACTGCCTGCCGATCTGTCACTAATCTACCCCAAGACTATCACGGCTTTTTATAGGTGAGTCAAGGGAACACTCTCGCCACGCATCTCAGTCCTAAAATTTAATTATTGAATGTTATCAATAAATGTAAATACCATCAATCATCCCGTAAAAGATGTTCTAGAGTTTAGTAGTAGGTACCGTAGCTAATGTGTATTTATGCGTTTCAAGTTGGATAGAAGTGTTTTGTTGGATACATTTTATGTGTTCTTGTTCCTGCACTTTTGCAGAGCGGCCAACGTGGGGCATATTCTGGGCCAATTTGGGGCACCTTCCAGCAAGTTCTGAGCTAGTTTGATGCCAGTTCTGGACGAGTGACAGGCAAGCTTT